ACAAATGTATAGATGTGCTTTACACAATTGATCTATGTATTGTGATGAATTGTATGAGCCCCAATTAAAAAAAAAATAAGTGAAAAAAAAAATAATGGCGTAGAAAGTAAAACTCTTTTAGAACCTGAGTTGATGTACCAATAGACTCTATAAATAATAGGAATATAGATTGTGATTTATGAAATAATTTTTCTCTATGTTACTGGATCAAATGAACAACATGATAGTTCATCATCACAGTGGATCATTTGATAATTCATGTTGAAATTCCTGGGTGATAAAGAATACACTTCTGGGGTACAAAGCTAACTTTTTTGAAGGAAATGTGCTCTATGGTACCGATTAAAAACTCAAATATGATTAATCATGAAAACAATTCATAGAGATTATATAGTGTCATATATAAACTGAAGGCATGACTTTGGCTTAACTCATGAGCAGAAAGCTTAATGAAGAACATTGATATTAGGAAGCTGTTTCTGCAAGGTATTCTTGCTGTCATTTTAACAATCACTGAATGTGGACTATCTTCTCCTAAGAAGTAATGAGTGTTGGGGTCCCTGCAAAATGGAATTTGGGGGAGCTATCTCAAAACATGGTAACATAGGAAAAAACAACCTAACCTGTAAGGTTACATTACACATCATGTAAATAATAAGCTTCACTAAGGAAGTTCAGCTTTCTTCAAGGATATGAGGATAGCGTGATGTTTCAGTTTATAACTCCACTCCTGATCTTTCTCAGACCCATCAGTTAAGACTTAATTCCAATAGAAGCAAAACTTGTTAAACAATTTAAAAAGTCATACTGGTATTAAAAAAATTCCATTCATAAAAGAGTAAACATTTTAAAAAAATAAGTCAGATTAGTGAAGAAATTGCAGATTATATACTTCACTACTATGTTAGTCTGGGTAGACTAGAGAAATTCATAGATACACATGTGTATAAGAAAGCTTTGTATAAAGAGTAATTGTACATTAAGAAAACATCCCAGCCCAGTCCAGATCAAGTCCAATATTAGCCCATATGTCCGATACTAATCTGTAGAGCCCTCTTCAGACTCACTAAACACATGCAATGATGCTCAATGAGGGATGATCACAGGCCATTAGGTGGGTGGAGGAAGGGGGGAGTCTCTTTCCTCCAAGGAGGAATACAATAGTTCCCCAATCCTCAGGAGAAAATTCTGCCCACACAGAGGCCTCATTGGCTCTGACCTGATTTTCAGGCTAGAATCCACCCTTCACTCTAAATCCTCCTCTCAAATGGACAAACGATTATATAACTACCACAACTACTTAGGTGGCATTTGGAAAATAGATTTTTTTACATGCAGAGACCAACCCTATGACAATGCTACCATACACCAGTGTGTTGTGAAAGCATGCAACTGAAAATTTTACTATGTAATGACTAGGCACGTGTAACTAAAATATAGTAAATTGTAATGTTTGTTGTCTGATCATTACATTTTAGGACTTTTCATTTGTTCACTGATACTTACCTGGCAGGGGAGATACCATGATCACAAAGATGGTTTCCCAGAGCAAGGCTCATCCATTGCACCCAGATGTACTGACCCCTGCGAGTTCCCCAAGGGGGGTGGGGGTGGGGGTAATTGGTTCACTTGTTATACCATTTATTATTAAAAACCCCAAATTTTTATAAAATAAAAATTTAAGTAGCCATTTAAGGCAAATTTGGTAAGAGTCCATTTTTCATTGTGGAAGATCAGAAATTTCATTTATAATTGAAACAACTGATACATTTACTCTGTTGTAAAATATGTGGAATACTTTTTTATGGATTGTGATAAGAGTTTGTATGAGCCCCCAATAAAATGATTTTAAACAGAAAAATATATTTTAAAAATTTAAAAAAAGAAATGTGATATACCATAAAAATGTTAGTACCCCACATCTACTAAAAATTGTATACTCCATTTTGTCTCATTCTGCTAAAATTGCATTTGCCACCTTGTGCATTCGATGACTAATAGTGCATTTTCTTACGGTTTTCAGTGACTAATTTCTCAGAAGTAGACAGCCTATTCCTTCTTCATAATTTGTTCTTAGTCTGAAAGCTCTGATGAAATCTGTATTCACATTCCTCACAAGAGGAAGACCCTTCATGAGATGGATTGGCACAATGGCTGGGACAATAAGTTCAAACATGACAATTGTGAGGGTGAGGCAAGACTGGGTGATGTTGTGTTCTGTTGTACGTTGAGTCTCTATAGGTCGGAACCCACTGACAGTACCTAACCTTAACAATTGTGAGGTCAGCAACAATAGTCTGTTTCAAAAGCCTGCTTATCTGGTGATATGGGTTAGGTGTTGGCCTGCCAACTACAAGGAGGGCAGTTCAAGCCCACCAGTTGATTTGAGAGAGAGAAAGAAAAAAGATGAGGCTGTTTGCTCCTTTAAAGATTTACACAGAAACCCTGTATAGGGTTGGTATGAGTCAGAATCAACTTGATAGTAGGTGGGCTTTTTATTTAAAAAGGCATTACATCATAGATTACTAGCTGTTTGTGATATTATATATATATATACATATGCACACATACATATGCACACATACATATACACACTCTTAAAGTTTGTGGCTACATGGAATTAAAAGATAATGAATTTTCCCCACGACATTTTAAAGTCCATATATATGTATATACTTACATGTATACATGTGTAAAATTGTCATACGTCATTCCAAAAAGGAGGCAACACCACAGATGGTCAGTGTTAGGGTCCTAATGGATTAATCTGGTCCTTCTTCCAGTATAGCTTGCTTGGTGACTCACCTGCTCTAGCTAGCAACTGGTAACTAACTGGTGCTGTTGACTTGGGCCTTGGGCCTCTTATTAGCTCTTTCATATGGCCTGGGTATCACAGCTTAACAACTGGGTTTTAAGTGGACAGACCTGAACTTCTGTGTTCTATTCATCACAGCTGGCCCTAGGGCCCTCCAAGTACTAGAATGCTTAACCTACTGCAATTGAATTCCAATTTAATAAGGTCAGAGTAGGTCAGAGTAGAGGTGCTTCTGAGGATTTTGGAGACGGAATCTTTAGGGGAGCAGACAGCCTCATCTTTAACTTAAGGAGCCACTGGTGGGTTTAAACCTCAGACCTCATCCTAACACTAAATCCATTGTGGCACCGGAACTCATTATAATACTTAGTATTGTACAATTCGACTAGACTTCTGAGTTCCGTGGGAGCAGGGTCTCTAATTCTGTTAACTAGTGTACTGCCCGGGGCATGGTATATCCATGCTTTAACTGCCTCTGAGTCTGTTCTCTCTCATGATGTTATAGGACAGAGTAGGTCTGATGCAGTGGATTTCTGAATCTTTATTGGTGCAAAAAGCCTCATCTTCTGCAGAACCTCTAGTGGGTTCAAAGTGCTGGCCTTACAAGGAGATACCCCCCCCAAAAAACATAAAAACGCTCCTCTGGGTGGAGCGTTCATAGTATGCATTTTTCTCGCTAGGCAAGCATCAAGCAACTCGCTCTGAGGTAGCACCCAATGACGTCACCTGGGAAGGTTCTCTCTGGTCACAGTGAATTTTTTCATAAAGGCAGTTTTGCTCGAATCTCATTTTTTGTGATGGCTGATTTAAGAGAACAGTGTGCGGCTATGAAATTGTGTTTCCTGCTTGGGAAAAATACCGCAGAAACTGTTGTGATGTTGAACACAGCTTACACAGACAGCGCTATGGGAAAAACTCAAGTGTATGAATGGTTTTCAAAAAAGGTGAAATGTCGATTAATGGCAAACCTTGCTCTGGACATCTGTCAACTTCCTGAATGGATGAAAAAGTGCACAAAATTCGTGCACTTGTGTGCTTGAAGATCGACACAAGAATGGACCATTTAAGGGAAGATTTGAGAATAAGAAGGGTTGCTGTGAAATTTGTGCCTCATTTCCGGACTGATCAGGGAAAAGAGTGTCGAGTAGAAACATGTCGTGCTTTGAAAAGACACTCCAAAGGGACCCAGACTTTTGTTCCCCCAAGGTCATTACTGGTGATGAGACTTGGTGCTATTCTTAAGACCCAGAAACCAAACATCAGTCAAACCAGTGGAAGATGCCATCATCACCTTGCCCCCTCTACCCCCCAAAGCTCGTCAAGTGAAATCAAAGATCAAGACGATGCTCATTTTTTTTTTTGGTGTTGGGGGGAAGCGTGCATCTAAAGCAAAAAAACAAAATAAAACCCAAACTCTCTGCCATTGACTTGATTCCCACTCTTAGTAACCCTATAGGCAGGGTAGAACTGCTCCTGTGGTTTCTGAGACTGTAACTTTACAGGGGTAGACCCACGCTTAAATCACACAAAGGTGACTAGGATTCTTGATCAGTTTCATCTCACCCAGACCCTCTTTGAGGCCACTCACTTCTCCTGGTCCATCTCCTTCAGCCGGCCAAGATCCTCAATAGCTAGCAGCTTCTCTTCATTACTGTGTAGGTATTTGATGAATGGATTTGAATTCCTGGCCTCTGTGTCTCCAAAGGAGACTTGGTGACATATGTAGTGGGTTATAAGTTAGGCTGCTAATCTGATAGTCGCTGGTATTTTTGGTTGTTTTAAAAAATATTTTATTGGGGGCTCATGCAACTCTTATCACCAATCACACATCAATTGTATAAAGCACATTTGTACATTCGTTACCCTCATCATTCTC